GTGTGTGTGTGTGTGTGTATGTATGTATGTATGTATGTATGTATGTATGTCTGTATATGTATATGTATATGTATATGTATATATATATGGGTGTGAGTGTGGGGTGTGGGGTGTGATCTGCATATATGTGTAGGGCGATAACTGCAGTGAAAATAGCTGTTTGTCGACGGCAATGTACTTCTACCGTGCGTACTCATATATTACAATTCATTCGCAGTGTAGTACCGCTTCGTTTCTCATCGTACTACTCAGTACACCTTAAATCGCTGCCGTCTTATCAGTCTACAGTACATTCCATCGTTCATCCGCTATTCTAGCTTATACTGCGTTGTTCTATTCTTAGCTCAAACGGGTCAAAACGGCCTCCGGAGACGCCTCGGCGCCGCCAGTGAGTCATACCACAAAGTGCGAATTGATTGGCTTCCTCATACACACACTCGACAAAGCACGCGATGCCAAGGCTATCGATGCGCTTATCTTGGCTGTGGGCCTGGTGGGATACGGAGACCCGACTCTGCCAAAGGTATACATACAATTGAAAGTGTACGAGTATATATACTAGCCCAAGGTATATATGTAATGTTAAGTATATCAGGCTGAGCACGTGTATAGGGGTGTGTGTAAGTACTGGGGGTGTGTGTGTTTGTGCGCGGTTGTGTTTGATATATGCTTAGCCATACACGCCCTCGACTAAACGCGCCATGCGACACAACCATCATCATGTATGATACTGTCTACGCCAGAGCTATTTAAGGTCTGCATTTGCGCGTGGTAGAGGTTGTTGTAGGTGTTTGCTTCTAAGCTTGTACCTGCGTATTCAAATGTGTGCAATCTCTTTTAGTGCATTCTGTGGCACTATGTCAACAAGTGACTCCGAAGGCACGATGATATGCATAGGCACGAGTACATCCGTGTGTGTGTCTATATATATCTCTGTACAGACACACATGTATGTATGCCGTGCCCTACCCATACATCAGAGAAGAACCACTTCAGATGTAGACGTGGGCTGAATTTTTCCTCGTTAATTGTCCACACCAGGAAGCGGTAGACAAAATTCTCGAGACACTCTACAGCAAAGAGCGCGAGAAAAGCCCTGACCTGCACTTCACCGTAGGCATGTCACTGGCACGCATCGCACATGCCTCAACCGTGGTGGCCAATCAAAATGCGTCTATAAATAGCTCGAGACTACCAGCTATTGTTGAGAAGGTTTTAGTTAACAGCAGATCCGCGGTACCACCCGTGCGACAGTCGTCAGCCATCTGGCTGTTGCACGTTGTCAAACTCAATGCGAAGAATAAATATATAACACACGAGGCTGTGTCTGAGATCCAGGTGAGTCGTGTAAAGTTCACACATATATGTTTATTGATGCTATATTGATA